TAACTGATTGTTACCTATCCTCGCTGGTACAGTCAACACCTCCACTTTGTTTAACGCGGCGATTATTGAGCCGGTGATGCTCTCCTAGATCGTGTTGCAGTACGTGCGCCTCTATCCCCCGAAGGCTGTGTACTTGTCTTCCATCGATTTATTCGGAGGGACATACCTTTTAGTGTGATTGTGATGGCATGTACGTCGGTAGTGTCGGCTTCAAGGGGGACGTCGAGAGGTTGGTAGGGGACATCCTTCTTGGCGTAGATACGTAGTCCACTAGTGTGTCCTCATGGTGGTTAATTGATGTGGAGAACTGGAGTGGATGGGCTCCAGGTGCCGGCATGCCGGTGGGGGACGGGGAGCCGGGTGTGTTGTTCTCGGGTCCATGAGCAGGCGCGGCTTGCGGCGGATGGACGGAGGCAGCAGGGCACACCGGGGCAGGCTCGGTAGGTGCCACGCCAGCAGTGATGCCAGGCGGCGGTAGAGTAAGTCGTGAGCAAGAGGGGCACACAGGGGGGGTTACCAGCTTGTGTCAAACCAGAAGAGGGGTGTGACTGGGTAGCAGCTGAAGGCAGGGGTAGTCTGTGTAGGTTGGAGATGGCGGTACGGAGTATTTCAAAGAGTTTTTCAATACGGTTTGTAAATTCGTGGAAGAGGGATATGATCTGTCGTGTCACTGGGGGGCACCGGAGGGAGCACAAAGCCTGACAGAGTCAGAGTAGAGACGGGGAGGAGGCCCAGTAGTAGTTGAGTTAGGAGACGACCGGGACTGCTGTCTTGCAGCCAGGTGAGGCCAGACAGGGGCAGGTGTTGTTGAAGAAGGCATTGCCAGAGGAGGGGACGCAGATGGAGGCGGCCCAGTAGGCTGGGAGGGAGGTTGAGATTGACGTTGACGCAGCCTTCGGGGAGGCTTTTCTCTTGGGACAGGCAGACGTTTGGGATATTGCCGTGGGTCAGCATTGTGCCGGCCACCACAATTACAACACCTGGGGGTCAACAACATAGCCCACACCACCACCATTGAGGTGGTCTTTGATTTTCTGGGCACAGAAGGAGGAGTGATGGTTATGTGAACAGAAGCGACATCTGGGACGATCACTTTGGCAGCAGGCGGTGAAGGTGTGACCCCAATGGGAGCAGATGACACAATAAACAGACTCGGGGTGATTGGTTCTGCATACAGTGGACGGAGGACTGGGTGGGCCTCAACAGTGGTTGGGCACTCTCTCCCCTTCCATTAAACTTTGATAGCTGCTTGTGGGGTCTTCTCCCGGTAGTGTCGACTTATGCTGAGTATACGTGGATTAAAGTTGGATTAAAGTTACGAGCATCTTCGACTTCAGCGTATAGGGGGAATTGTTGAACTAGCGTGAGAGAGGAGGGAGTGTCAAGCGGGTGCTTTGATTAGTCAGTTGACCTTGCTCGACCTCTGAGAGAGTTAAAAGCTCAGCCGTGTATAATATAAACAACCGAGTCATTGTTGAATAACTTTGTGAATAAGTTGGTGTTATTTATTTGAGTGAATATTTTTATAAAGGAAAGGTGCTGTGACAATCAAATGATCCCAAATATGTTATGATTCTGAGCCCGTGATCCCAAGGGTGGTAAATCTTTGAACAGGTTGGTGTAGATCACAAATTTGAGATACAATATAAACAAGCAAGACTTGAATCTTCAGCAGGAAATATAAGAGTACACACGCACAAAAATGACTGCCTGTACTTATACAGTAGTAGACAGTCGATAAGGAACGAGGTATGGTTTACATATGGCCTCATATTCTCAGGTTTTTAAAGGATTCTATTTTTCCAGAATGCTTATTCTACGCGCCAACAACCAACACAAGCTGTCTACATCTTTCTCCATGGCATCAAGAAAGACATTGGTGACGAAAAACAAAAGAAATATACATGACTATAACAGGAAAGCTGATAATGTAAATAATAGAGATCAACTAAAGATTAGCCCTAGCTTATTGCACCTTAGGGAGTTAATCTCCCTAACACTCACAACCTAACCTAACCCCCAAGAAGCGTAACTTGTTTAATCATCAGGTGAAATAAGCTTGGGCTAATATTAAAGGTGATTCGAAAATTGGCTGGCGTATTTTTTTTCTGCGTTTTTCTGGTTAATTTATCACTAAAGATGCTCGTGTTACTGTCCTCGCGGAGTTGCGTCATTGGTTTTACTGTATGTTCGTCTGTCCCATATCAGAAACCTCTAATGCTGGGGAGAACGCTGAAATATATTTACAATTTCGTACGATGCGCCACTGTTACTGAAGGCACAAATTGTTCCCCACTTTATTTTTATCGAATTGATCCTACTGTAAGTTAAGATATCAAGGTAAGGTATAGTTCAGTATACCTTTAATGTAAATATTTTATGTTATTTTTGTATTTTAGCTTATGCCAAAAAGTTAGCTGCATTCATACATCGTCATCTACGTGGAATTTTCATCGTACTATAAACATTTGTGAATCCGAACCAAGAGAGGTGGAGGCGGAAGTGTGTATAGAGGTGAAGTGAGGCCTTTATACCTTACCTTTCACCAACACAACGCTGACATTTGGTAGATGCGTGACCCAAACAAACCTCTGAAACAATAAAGACCACGATAACATATTGATCACGAAGGAGCAGCAATTAAAAGGCCAACACTCGAGAGAAAAAAAAGTTTTATATATTATTAAGGATTATTTTTACGCTTTCAGAACGAATTTTGTTTAGCAAGACGAAATAATTTAATTTCGTTAGTAAAGAAAAGGTCAGAAGCATCTTACTCGTGCTATTTCCCAAGATACATCTACCACTGACGTCATGAATCAGGTATGAGTGTTGAGGGGCAAAAAAGTGGAGTGATGATTCATTTGTCATTTATTGTCAGTGTTGATATACAAAACTATTATTTTTAACTGCACCATCAGTTATGTGCATCACTATCACTCACTAACTATTGAAGAAAAATATACCCACTCAATGACTGAACAATTTAGCGCTTTAACGGAGAGTTGTACAAGGTTTTCGTATCTCTTTCTGATGTAGATTATACTTGCTTTGGAACGTCTGGAGTACTGTCATCCCGTCTGGTCCCCGAGGTATGATAGAGACTTAATTAAATGAAAATGTCCTAAGGAGGGCCGTCAGACTGGTGCAAGCTCTACGGAACCCCAGCTACCCAGATATTAGAACGCCTGCAACTGCCTAGCTTATAATACAGACGGGCAAGGGACGACCTAATCGAAATGTACTGTGTAAACATCTCAGTCGAATGTACAATCGACCAAAGATCCACCGACCCCACCCTGGGTCTGCACTCGTAATTTTACGTGGAAATACTTGGTAAAATAAGGCGGTTTGGTAAAGTAAGGCTGTATATAATGGTGATTGTGATTGGTGGATCTATTTTCGACTGTATCACTGTCAGGATAAATATTAAACAATTCAAAGGTATTTTTTTTTATATTAGTAGACTATTCATTGTTATTTCAGATTAAGAGAAGTTTTCAAATGTTCGTATATTTGCTTTAATAATGAAGAAAATTTATTGTGAAAATCTTGGAGCATCCCTGGTTGTAGTTGAGTTGCCAATGCATTAATATAATTTATTTATTATTTAAGCAAATATACGACCATTTGGAAACTCCTCTTGGTCTTAAATAACAATGAATATCTTATTATTAAAATTTATTTACCATTGAATTGTTTAATATTTATCCTGACAGTGATACAGCCGAAAATAAATCCAACAGTCACAATCCCCATTACATATAGCCGCTTTTCACTAAGAATTACCAAATAAAATTGCGAGTACAAAAGCTGGGATGGGGTCTCTGGATCTTGGGCTGACTGTACATATTTGGAGCTGCGAACGCCCGCACCTCAAAGGTCACAGCTCAATGTTGAAGAAGCCACAAGTCCTGAAAACACTGAGGGCAAAGTTTTTCGGAGTGAAAATTGTGAACTTCTCGAACAATCTGCCAGAATGGTTGTGACGGCACCGAGTGTGAGCTCATTCAAGGCCAGACGTGAGTTCCGATATACCCTGCAGGACAGGAGTAGAAGCCTTACAACACTCATCACAAATATCATCTGTAACTACAACACAACAACCAGTACAACATGCTCACTCCCACCGAATTTTCTGATAAAGTATTCTTCTTGTAAAAAAAATAATAATACATATATCGTGTACACGCCTGAAATATATAACCTAAGGAGCGAGTCTCTGAAACATCTGTCTATCCATAAATGACGCTGCAGTATCTCATTGGGATTTGGTACAGTGTCCATCAAGAATGTAAAGGAACGTTTCTTCGTGAGATTCTAGTCATATATATATATATATATATATATATATATATATATATATATATATATATATATATATATATATATATATATATATATATATATATATATATATATATATATATATATTATATATATATATATATATATATATATATATATATATATATATAATATATATATATATATATATATATATATATATATATATATATATATATATATATATATATATATATATATATATATATATATATATATATATATAATATATGTTATATTATATATATATATATATATATATATATATATATATATATATATATATATATATATGTAACGTTGAACAACTTTGAAAATTAATTATGACCCTGTACTATCACGGATACCCACGTAGCTGTCACACACGTGTCCTCTGGTGGCTATATTGAAGCAGTACATCATAGATTACTGCACTTAGCGCCCTGTATCTCCAGCTCCACGATAACTTTGCTTCCTGGCAGATTCTATTATTACTTCATGCTGGAACGTGGGTAGCCTAACAAGGTAACGATTAGCTACCTTCCTCATCATTTATTAATAATGAAAAATCTTGAAGGTCTCTCCAAACATACAGGACGCGAGAGCCGAAACTCAAAGACTATTAGAGTACACGTCAGCCGCTGAGTCAAGTCATTCCTCCGTCGATGGTTGAATCAAAATGATTGACAGGAAATCAGGACTGGTATTAGTGTGTGGTGTGTTGAGTGTGGTGCCCGCGCTTTCTCGCCCAACACCAACACTTACCATTCAAGGTTAGTTTATTTTATCATTTATTACCGGCTCTGAGAGGGCACATCCCGTGATATAAACTGGTTCTCGTTGCTACTTAGATAACTGATCAGCCGATGCCGTCGGTGAGCCCTGTATTCGCGTTGAGCTTTAGTGAGTACTGTGCGACCCATGACCATCACTGATTAAGTTCCGATTGCAAGATAGGTGACCACCTCACGCACTGCTGTTTGGTGCTAGAATTCACGAAGTGCAATGCAGAGAAAGCAGTTTATTTACCCACCAGAAGCAAAAAATAAAGCCAAGTATCGTATCGGGCCCATAGCCAGGCTTATACCTTTCGGGAGGCATCCAGAACATTTGAGGGGCACAAAAAATGTCCTCCATTTACTTGGCGAAAAAGCTTCCCCTATACCTTGTCTTGCCATAGGAATGCAGTGTTAATTAAACTTAGCTTTATTTGAGTACTAATTAAATTGAGACTTTGTGTAAGCAGATGTGGGTTAGGGAATATTCCAAGCTGGTGACCATCTTATGACACTAGCTGCAGATTCTCAAAAAGTTCGCAAGAAGAATATTCCCCGTAGCTAAGTTATAAATATAAAAAGCACTCTATTGATTACCCTAATTTAAAAGGCATTAACCGTCCTCAGTAGAAAATATTTTGAAAGATTTTTAGCGATAAATTTGTCTGGTAACTAGTACTAAATAAAAGCTTTTAGTTAGGTTCAATTAATTTCAGTGTTGATTTTGATCCTGTTTTTGGATTTTATTTTTCTGCTTTATCTTAAATCAACCAGTAATGATCATTCTCACATATTTGGTTACTTACAAATTTCAACGTGTGAATCTTTGAAAATCTGTACACTTGAGGTCCAGAGTTTGGCATGCATATTTTTAATGGCATAATGTTGTATCTAATGTGTTCAAGAATATGTAGTACAGTATATCTTAACTGAAGTCGAGTTACTAAGACAGAGGCTGCCTCTGAGCTGTACACAGCAATAATGTGTTCATAGGAGGAGGTAAACCCATAATTCTCTGGTACTGACTCACCAGCCTTCACTACTGAGCTGTCCAAGCTTCACGAAATATTGAAATGTTACATCCTTTACATCAGGCATGGACAACCATTCCTTAGTCGTGGACCACATTACGATTTAGGTATTTTCTGCGGGTCAACTCACCAGAATTTATATCCTACCTAACCCAAAAGTAATGTTAATATTGTATTAAGACGGACAGACAGTTTGTCGACACGGCCACCTTAAGATATTTTCAGTTTACATTTAGTCTTTTTCCCATTTATGAAACAAATCCGTCATAATGAAGTTTTAAGGAATATGTTAATGTCTCCTAGCATTAACAAGACGAGTAAAGCAGTCTGTGAATTCGTTGATTTTCCTACAGCTACAACATTTTTCTTACTTATGAGACACACCCACCAGAATAATGTTAATGATAATCTCAGTGCACGAGGAACTACAAAGGAACAACCGATAGGCACATCTTTTTAATTTACAAAATATAAATATATAATATAGATAGAACAGACAGGCAGGCATGAAGGATAAGTTACTATGGAGAGTGACAGTCTGTCAACAAGGAAGAGACCTTTACCTTTGACCCGTGTGACCACTGCCTGTGACCCCACATGGACTTATCCAACCTTAGTTAATTTCAAAGTAACCCACTGCCACATAGCAGCTAATACACCATGGAGGAGTCTACATTGTGGAGGAGGCTACACTGTGGAAGAGACTACATTGTGGATGAGGGTACACCATAGAGAAGACTACGTCATGGAGGATATTACACCGTGCAGGAGGCTACACCATGCAGGAGTCTACACCGTGGAGGAGACTACACCGTGGAGGAGATTACACCGTGGAGGAGACTACACCGTGGAGGAGACTACACCGTGGAGGAGATTACACCGTGGAGGAGGTTACACCATGTAGGAGTCTACACAGTGGAGGAGACTACACGGTGGAGGAGATTACACCGTGGAGGAGACTACACCGTGGAGGAGACTACACCGTGGAGGAGTCTACACCGTGGAGGAGTCTACACCGTGGAGGAGATTACACCGTGGAGGAGATTACACCGTGGAGGAGACTACACCGTGGACGAGACTACACCGTGGAGGAGACTACACCGTGGAGGTGGAGGAGGTTACACCGTGGAGGAGAGACTACCGTGGAGGACTACACCGTGGAGTTCACCGTGGAGGAGACTAGACCGTGGGAGGAGATTACACCGTGGAGGAGACTACACCGTGGAGGAGGCTACACCGTGGAGGAGACTACACCGTGGAGGAGACTACACCATGGAGGAGGTTACACCGTGCAGGAGTCTACACCGTGGAGGAGACTACACCGTGGAGGAGACTACACCGTGGAGGAGGTTACACCGTGCAGGAGTCTACACCGTGGAGGAGACTACACCGTGGAGAAGACTACACCGTGGAGGAGGTTACACCGTGCAGGAGTCTACACCGTGGAGGAGTCTACATTGTGGAGGAGGCTCCACTGTGGAGGACCTTCCTCACCCCCTCCCGCCATCTCGAATGGGCCGCGATACTTCCAAGAAAGAAGTTCGTACTGTATTGAATAGGTATAACTCTAACTTCTATGACCTTGGCCCCATCCAGCTTTGTGTTTAGTGCCTGAATCTAGAGTAAGAAATTTGAAAAAAAAAAAGCTTAGTCATGGGAGACAAAATTCAAGGCGTTTATTAACTCTTTGTGAGGCAAGTGTTGCTCTCAACCGAATAAAATACCTAAGTGCCCTACAAAGGGTTAAAACTGCTACAGTTAACTAAGTCTCCCATCACAATCATAGAAAACTGTGTTTTCTTATGTGTTGGAAAAAATCAGCATTGGGCCGGGACGTAAGCGAGGTCGGCGATGGCAATGGAGGGAGGGAGCCTGTAATGAGATTGAGGGGAGGGATAGGTGTAATGTGGAGAAAAAAATTTCTTGCCCAAATTTGCAAACAAAATAAAAGTTTAGTAAAAAGAAAATCAGAAATGGCGGGAAGTGGGCTGACTAATGCAGAGGGTGATGAAGACTAAAGCAGCAGTTACGTTAATGATTAACGTTAAGTGACTGACTGGAACGCACGAGTTGGATGTGCAGTGAGAAGCCTGTGATGTAATCAGACCAGGTGTGGAAGAGGAGGGGAGGGGATTAAAAGCTGTGAAGGAGTAGACTAAGGCCAGGTGGGACGTTAATGGAACATGAGCATTTTTTGGGTCAGTCCTTCAGAAAAGATGTTCTTAGAATTGATTAATACAATTAGAAAAAAAATATAAGTTTAGGTAGATATATAGATGGCAAACAGGATCGACTAACGAGTTTAGTATTTCTTGTGATATGTCCAAAAGGTGTATTATATTACGACCCTCCATTCACCACTTACCCAGCTTCCACCGCTGGTTTCCATCGGCCAGGTCGTAACACAGAAGCAGTAGATATATTATAAGTGTCGTCGAATTACCACTGGCTGTCCCGCCAGTCTTCGGTAATTTCCCGACGATCGGTATCAGTGTACAGGCAGACAACAGGCAGGTAGAATTCCACCAGGTCACAGAAACACACTTTTACTTTTATCCTCTTCACCACTGATCGGCTGGTTAGCCGCTTGGGCGATCGGTCACGTCTCTGTTACTTTTCTTTTTTCTTTTATCCTCTTCACCAAATGATCTGTAGTCTTTTAATATTCACCAGTTCTTCACAACACTGTTCACAGGCTAATGTCTTCACAGCTGGACTTCTCACTTGACTTATTGTATATAGTCTTCACACTACCAGTGTACAATTACTTAGTCTTTTAACTTTTATATCGCTCACAACAATTCCACAATACTTGCACAACAATTTTCTTCAGGTGTCCTACTCGGCTTGTACTTCACACACTGAGCAGAAAGTCGACTTACTTATAGGCCGCTTTCTGCGGCATATATGTTTTGTCAGTCGCCTAGACTCCTAGAGCATTTTAGCGATGTCGAGACGCTGCAAGTCAGAATGAGACACGCCTGGAGAATTCTAAAATGATCTATTCTTACAATTCGTAAGTAAATCATAACAAAAATGATGCAATACATTCTAGAAAATTCTTACATAGATAATACATCAATATATAAAAGATCACCCTAAACTTGCCAAAATAACTGCTGCTTGAAATAGAAAATAATCAAAAAACCTATTTTAGAAAACTTTTAATACCAAATTATGCCTCGGCATAACAATATCATTATGAGGGTAACCATTAATGTGTTCTAAAGCAGAGCACAACCATTAAGAGAGTCCTTCAAAGCTCACTTCCTAAAAAATATCAACTCTAGCACGAAAGAACTATGTGGCGACTCTGAGGAGTATGGTGAAGCCGTTATGTGATGAGGCCTCTTCCCTGTTGTTCCTGAACGACGGGTCCTTCCCTGCCAAACAGTTCCTACATGACTTCCTGTTAACTCACACCACTGCGCCCGTCCAGCTAGCAGACATGACTACATGGTTGAGCGATGAACAAACTCCATCCGACTACTACCAAAACAATCACAACACTGAGTTTAGTCTTACTATGATCGTATTCTACAATGCAAGTCTGGTTGGTATGCTGTTAGCGAGCCTTCCATATGGGTGGATCCACGGCCCTCTGCAGCTACTGTCTCTCAACATTCAAGAAAACCCCAGGTACTGTGCATAGCATCAAGATGTTCACTAATGCATTTAATGTACAGTCACCCAAAAAAGTCCTGTCGCGAACCACAAACCCCGAGATTCAGACTCGTGAACCCGAAGCAGTAGACACTGATAAATTATTCTGTCCATAAATGCTTCGGATTCAAGAGTCTGAATCTCGGGGTTCATGGTTCGCTACAGGACTTTTTTGGGTGACTGTACTATATTACAGTTACTGTGCTTGTGAAAATGACACACCTTTGTAAAAAATTTAGGTAAAATTTCTCTTGTTGCCACTACACGAAATCAAAGTTAAAACTATGTTTTTCTGGTGGTTATTTATGTGTTATGGAGGAATTTTACCTTAATTTCTAGTTCAAATCAATGGTTTCTGAGATGTCCCTCCCCTCCCATCTCAGAATCTCGAGATTTGCTATAAAAAATCAACGTAAAAATTTTTCAAAACATATCGAATTGGGGAGCTCCCTAGTTGTTCAATGTTTTGAGTGTGTACCGCCACGTATGAACATGCATAATAAAATGTTAAATATCTCGCTTAAACGTAATTTGCGCCAGAAATACCATTGAAGATTCGTTTAGTGGCAACAAGTGAAATAATACCTTTTTAAATCCTTATACAATCCTAGAACAAAAGTCAGAAAACTTGCCCTCTTAAATGTCGTTAGCTTAATTAGGAGAATATATTGTTACGACCCTCCTTTCACCGCTTACCCAGTTTCCACCGCTGGTTACCAGCAGCCAGGGTTCTATGTACATAAGCAGTAGATAACACAAGTGTCGTTGAATTACCACAATGACTGTCCCGCCAGTCTTTGGTAATTTCCCGACGATTGGTATCAGTGTACAGACAAATAACATGCAGGTTGATTTCTACCAGGTCACAGAAACACAACACTGTTCACAGGATAATGTCTTCACAGTTGGACTTCTCACTTCGAATATATAGTCAGCACACTACCAGTGTACAATTCCTTAGTCTTTTCACTTTTATATTGCCCACAACAATTCCACAATACTTGCATGACAATTATTATCTTCAGTTGTCTTACTGGGCTTGTACTTGACACTCTAGTAAAAATGGTCAGCTTACAGGTGTTTATATACGATTCTAGAACAACCCAGACAGGTCTGTGAAGTTCTAGTACATTCTACTCTGATCGAAGCGTACAATAAAAAAGTAAATAATAAAAAAAATAATGCAATCATTATAGAAAATTCTGAAATAAGTAATACATCAATATATACAAAAATAAATCTCCCAAACTTGCCAAAATAGCTGCTGCTTGGGACAGAAAATAAGCAAAACACTCGAGGCGTTTTAGATACACGGAGTAGCTAACTCGTTAGCTATTCTGTCTGTGCAGATGCTTCTGCTGAGTTGTGTGCATGACGCCTTGAGAGGGAAAAGCAAATGCTTTAATCATGATTTTTTATTTTGCCGCTTACAGCGGCTACTTTATTGTGCACCCCACACTCATCCTGTGAGCGGTAGCGCAAAAGGATTACAGAGTAGAGTTTACAAAGGGTCATAATAATTAACCCCCGTTGTCAGGATATTATGGCACTGAATGTTACACAGTATTTCAATTACATTATTTGTTTAGTTCTATACATAAAGGGTAACTTATTCACAACTGCGTGAGTACAGGCGTGTGAGGCAGTATGTCTGGCCTCACACTTTGTTATTCACATTTACGTGAGAAGTATTCAAGCACATTGTGTATTTGGTTCTGTACATGAGAATTGATATAGTTACTAAATGCAAAAAAGTGGATACAATCTTAATATGTCGGCTATCTTGCCATTAGAGATAAAGTGTTGTGCCATTTCACACACAGTGTGCTTGGACCTGTCCCTAAAAGGTTCTATCTTCACACAGTCGAGGACGTAGTGTTCAAGTGTGTGGCCATACGTATGGCCACACACTTTACATTTAGTTTTGTTTGCATCTGCTCGAGGAACATACTGCCAAAGGTACTTATATCCTAACCTTAATCTAGCGGTTACAACATCTTGTAATCTAGTGATCTTGTTACTTGCTCCATATACATGTTTCACTTGATACATCTCATCATGGTAACCTATGGATCGACTAGTGCCTGTTTGCACTAGTCTGCTTGCGTCAAACTCATCAATAAGTTCTTTCCTAATTACAGTTTTAAGGGTTCTTTTTGACAGACCCAAATTGTATTCAACGGTGTCTTTGTTAGACGCGAGTTTGGCGAGGGCATCAACTCTGTCATGTTTTATGAGGCCTATGTGAGAGGGGATCCACAACAGTTTGACCCTGACACCCCGGTCAACAAGGCACACATATTTGTGTCTGGCTTCAGAGACAAGAGCGTGACAACCTGAGTCGAGGGTGCCAAAGGCAAGTAGTGAGGATAGAGAGTGAGTGATGATGAGACTGTCAGTAACAGTGGTTTCAATGAATTTAATAGCTGTGCGTATGGCAACTAATTCAGTTTGTAGAGTGGATGCCCATTTATTAATTCTAACTCCTTTCTCAATTATATTACCGTCAGGTTGAGTCACAACAATAGCACTTCCAGCCCTCCCACAGGCGGTGTTAAGAGATCCATCAGTGTAGATGGTCTGTGTGATATTATCATCAGTCTGCAGAGTGTGTATGTGTTCAAGAGCTCTCAATTTGGCAGTGTTGGAGATAAATGCTTTGTATAATTAATTTTTTAGGCGGATACGTCGGTATTGTGATATCGAAGGGAACTGTCCGCCAGGGTGGCAGGAAGCGCTGTTGTGTCTCAACTTTGTACAGGTGGTCTAGTCCAAACATCTTCATATGTGTAGCTGTAGTTTGGATCCATTTAGACTCAGTAGTCTCATGGTTCATACATTCTAGCAATTTTAAGGAAACAATGTTATCAGGATCACCACGCAGAAGCCTCAGGGCTATCATGAGGTTGACTTCAATTATTCTGTCTTTAACACTGGGTATACCTAGTTCTTTTCTCATATTAAGTACTTTAGTGCTCATGGGACATCCTAGGATAATTCTGAGGGCTTTAATCAGGCGTTAGCCTTGTGCAGCGCCCGAAGGGCCTGAATATAGCTAACAACCAATCAGCGATTTCTCCCACTGAAAATACGCGGGGATCCTGGCCGCTTATGGAGAATATTTTTATTAATATTGAAGAGTTGGAGGCATGTAAGGCAATAAAAAACTGTGTTATAATAATAAAAATAATTCTATATACGGTAGTATATTGGTTAGGACCTAAAACAATGCTTATGGAGTGAAAAAATTGAAAAGGATTGCGCCTAGTTGAAACCAGTTTTGGCTCCTCCGTTTTTAAGTGGGAGCTGTCCGATTTTATAGCCGTTGGTGACTTTGGTGTAACAATATTGATAATTACTCAAATATGATCGAAACCTTAATATCATCACTCATAAGATGCTTTAAATAAGGGTGAACAAGTTCATTACAGTTCTGTAAGTGCAAAAATTAAGACTTAAACGAACCTGAAATTCGTCGTATTTCGTGTACAAATATGCGAATACCTAACAGCGAGAGAAGCGTACAGCTGCTCTGGTTGTTAGGTGTGGTTACAGAGTCCGGGAGAAATTAACTTTACAACGGGCCTGATTTTTTGTGTTATTTTTATTTATCGTTGACTGATTTACCTTTTTTTTTTGTCTTTCCATAATTTTCTATATATTTTCTTCACTATTTTTTTCTGTATTGTGTCCAAATAACAGTTCTCATTATTTGATTGTTTTCTGAAGACTGTGTTGTACAACAGTTATTCCCAAGATGCGGTTCAATGTCGTATTTTTTAATGACTCTGGAAATAACTAAAGCGTTAGCTATTCCGTGCATCTAAAACGCCTTTAGTTTTCAAACAATATAATACCAAATTATGCCGCGGCATAACAATATAATTATCATTTCAGTAAGTGCAGTATATGTATACAATACTTGCAGTGTTTTGATATCATGAAATAAAAGTTATCTGTTACATTGGTATGTGATATTGCTACTAGTACTATGCAGTACTTTGTTGATGGTAGAAATTATGAAAAGAATGCAGTATGGAATATTCCAAATTTGGATAATAGTGGAACAGACGGCTAACACCAGAAGGAGTTGTTCGATTTCGTTCATTTTTTCCACATATTTTCTTTGGATGATAGTAAGTAATAAAAACGATACGACATGTAACCCCCCCCACCCCCCCCCCTCAGAATTTTTTTTTTAAATCTGACCAAAATCATGGGCATTTTGGGGCCATTTTGAAGCCATGTACACTTGATATTAGGATATTTTCTGAGGACAATAGTTATTATATTTTACTATACAAAAATAACCTAGTACAATACTGTACTACATTAAAGAAAAATTATTGGAATTTTCTGTTGAAAAGGGGGGTCCTGACTCCCGGGATTCCCCCCTAGATATGCCATTGTACCAAATATCAAAGAAAGTCATTTCTGTTTAATATGCCGGGGTCTGGGAGCAGAGCCCCCCTGCTAGGAAATTAGGTAAGGTGAGGTAGGTTTCCTTGATTGGTTAGGTCAGGTTCTATTGGGTTCTGTGCATTTTCGTGTTGCTTATATCACTTACTATCATCCAAAGAACATCTGTGGGTACAATGAACGAAATCGAACAACTCCTCCTGGTGTTAGCTGTCTGCTCCACATTTTCCCTAATTTTGAGTACTGTACCCATTAGGTTAGAAGCCTTCTACCCTGTTGGGCACCAAAATAGTATGCTTATTTAGCACAGTCCCTAACAAAACAATAAAAGTAGTTTGTAAGCAGACTGTTATAATCACTTGATATTCGACGCTTGACATCCAGCAGGGCACTTGGCACAGCACTAAATTAACCACTACACCTATTACATAGCAGCTGTAGGGCCAGTTACTAACTAGCAAATCAGTGTGTAGACAGTTGACTCCAAAGATGACTCATTACTACCTGTTATACAGTAGATTACAGGTTCTCTTAATTTAAACTACAAAGCACTTTTACTGTATATTACAGACACTTACTGGTGGAGGCGAACACAGGACGTCATTTGTCCTTAGTGCAGACGCAGGTCCTGAAAGATGCAAGGCTTAGGTACACCCTCACGACCTACCTGCCATTCAAGCCTGGAACAGACAGATTCTGTGTACAGGTGAGATTTTCGTCAATAAATTATTTTTGCTTTAACACATGTTAATTGTCATACCCTCTATGTTTATTAGCTGGAGTACTGTCTTCAGAAAGTATCCATACATAAGAATGGACGAAACTGCAGCGGGCCTATTGGCCCATACTTGTTATACTGTATTCTCATTAACCCCTGGGCTTCGGGCTGTGGTTGGCAACACCTCCCCCCCCCCACTCCTCCACGGCGTGGGCAGGAGACCCACGCGGGTTTATTCAGAAACAAATAAAAAGCAAGTCTAGTCTTACAAACTGGCCATGCATAATATAATCTGGAAATCAATAAATGTTCTTACCACAGGTTGGTAGCACAGGGGCTAGGAAGGGTGGAGAATGTTAGTGAAGTGGCCGTGTGTGTGTGTGTGTATGACGTAGCAGTAACAAGGTAAACAACACTAATTTGTAGGCATTATGAGCTACAGGACACTTTTTTTTACTATGTTATTACTATTTACACTTAATAATTAAAATTAATGCTCCAGTTATAGGGGGTTCTCTTCTTTTTATTTTACTTTAAGTTCTTTAAGCTCTTTCCCACTACCTTTAAACAACGACTGTTCTTTCTATTTTTTACTTTATTAATTCCATATGTGAGCTAGTTCTTAATCACTTTACTTCTCAGAGATACTCCCTAACCTCTGAGTCTTACCTGTGGTAGCATGGCTCGAGGGTTAAGACACAGGGTACTGTAATACTGGTACCAAGATATGGGAAGGAACAAAGGTGAATACTGCAGGAGAATGATACCCTTAACATACCATAAAAATGGTTTATTAAAATGAGGTTAGACTCGTGACTGCTTTCAGTAACACACAACTGCAAGGATCAACTCCATGGCACCACTCATTTTGTACTTTTCCATAAGGTACACCTTCCAACATACACCATTCCTTGGTGTACCTTTAAACAAACACAGCACTATAATCTTACATATAGCTCACTTGAGCACCATCAATACAGATTACCTGAGAATTGTAGCTCTTAATTATGAACAGGACTCTAGCAGTAGCACCACAACTAATAACCTCCTTGAGCTACTTTATTGTATTCGCCAAGAAGTGGCGACCCTCATACACTTGCTCACTCCAGACACCCATACAACTGAGGAGACTACTTACATGGATACTCGGGTGCATAACTCACCCAATAAGTAACTCTACTCAGTGGTGGACTCATTCATAACAATGCTATGAGCTGGTCGTGTTTACTCCTCACGTGAGAAAAACAGGTGGACAGCGGACACATTCTCAGCCCACCACACCACCGTGTTACACGAAGCTATCCGATCTCAATGGCTTTCATCCACCTCCAAACTCGTGTTGGCTGTTTCCTGGCATACAACGACCACCCTTGGTCTATTAGGCACCTGTTCACAGAGAAGTCGAGGGCTTGAGTGAGGACATAGTGTTGACACGAATGTCATAAAATATGTTTTTTAAGCTGAGGGCGCATGAACACATTACTAAAAACATCAAAGTTATGTTAATGGATCACTTGCATGTTCAAATAACACAAAACTACGTCAAATCACTTAATATGACGGAGTGGGACACGAAGTACTGGACATACCTGTTCACAGAGAAGTCGAGGGCTTGAGTGAGATTGGGAACTTGGGAGTCAGACTCTCCCAGCGCTCACCATCCCCGAGTTACCAAGTCGAAACTTTCTCAGATTCTGTATCATCATCAGACTCCTTTACTGTACACATTGGCGTGTGAATATCATGCTACGAGCTTATATTAATTTTCTAAGATTAACTTTTTGAACTAAGCAGTGAATGAGCTTTCAAAGGCAAGAATTAAGCTGACGTCAAGTTCTAAGCATGGCAGTATATTGTGGGCGGAGCTTTGCGAGCAAATACTGAGATTTTTCCGATAAGTTTCCAGCGATTATCAAGAGTCTGTTTACATTTCAGAAAACTAATTACTTTCTATAATACAAGACTGACCACAATTTCAATACTCTCATCGGATTATCTGATGTTCATAGATCAAAAAGATATGACTTCAGTTTTGAATTGCTATCCCATAAGTTCATTTCAAAACGTCATGTGATGCAACCCAAAGCTCTACAGACACACGTCATAGGACGTGACCTGAAGACTAGGGCCCGAATTCAAAACGGTAGTTTGCACCTGGGATTTGAGTTCAGCTCAGGCGTGCGAATCAGGATTCCTTGACACGAGATTTCCTGCAGTGGATTACTTATAGTATTCAAAACATCAGCTTGATCCCCGGATCGCATAATCAAAAGTTACTTTTATTATGATAATTACAATCAAATTATGATCAAATTATAATTACTTATGGTACTGTTACAACGTGTCTGTGTTGTTATATGATAACTAAAAATTTCATAGGGGAAGAACAATTACATGCGATTATAAATATAATCCGGGACAGGTGTCAATATGCATAACCAAAGCAAGATGAATCAATGCAGTATGTAGTTACCTGGCCAGGTTCAGTTAGGTTAGGTTTCTTTCTGTTCTTTTAACCCCACATTTACCCTGATTAGTAATGTTAAGAAAAGACTTTCCTTTATTAATACATTAAAATCAAAATGGACTGAGCATTGATTCAATCATATTAAAAATACATCTAAATAAATTTCCTAAAGAAAAACCCTCAAATTATAGAAGCGTCAGCGTTCTTTACATTTACCCGCTTGATCTTCATGGACCTGAAACACGAAAGTGTTGTAATACATTACCATAACTCATTCAGTAACCTGAATATTTCTTACCTGGAAACTATTCGCTGCGAAGAATCTTAAAGCAATCATCAGGTGATGAATGGGAGGTAGAGGTGAACCACAGCCAACTGGTCTGTCAAGTAGATGCTCCATATCATGGAAAATATAAAGGAAATCTCCCTTGCTGAACCTATATCTTTGTTTAAATTGAGCGTCACCATATATTTTTTTAGGTTTCTGCCTATCTACCACCAGTCTTCTCTACAGAATTTCCAATTTGATGATCTCGCCAAAATCAGCATTCCTTGTCAAAATTCATGCTGACTTGCTTGAAGGATCAACCGCCAAACTTGCCTCCAGGCTCGATTAACGCGAGGATTGACAATTCCGATCTCAAACCCGATTTGAATCTTTGTGTTGGTTCAAGCCAGCATTCTGAATACCAACAATCTTCAATCTTTGCTCGATCCATGGTTTAAACCTTCATACGGTTTCAAATCACTGTTCTGAATTCGGGCCCAAGGGTTCAAGATTTTCAAGTTGCTGGATTGATTTGTACATTTCTAAGGGTCACAGATTTTGGATTTTGACATTTGTAACCATTGGGGGTTGTATGTTTTACAAATAAAACTTAATTGAAACTGATATGACCAAAAACATGTTTCGCTTAAGGCGGTGGCAGAATGGGCACTTTTCCATCCAACATGTTGGGCAAACACTGTCTGGCCAGCAAAAACGAAGAGACGTTTGTGTCACACTGGGATCTGGGATGTTTTGTTGGCGCGTCTGCCCAACGCAACAAAAACAACAACAAAGCATCTAGATGAGGCTTGCCATGGATCCCGTTACAACGTAAGAATATAAGCACATAAGAATGGAGGAAACTGCAGTGGGCCTATTGGCCCATACTGGGCAGTCCCATTTACATCCAACCCCTATTGATCATATATCCACCCAACCTATATTTGAAACTATCCAGCGTATTCGAGTTAATGATGATATTTGGTAACTTGTTCCACTCGCCCACTACTCTATTTCCAGACCAATTTTTACATATTTTGCGCCTAAGTCTAAATTTGTCTAATTTAAAACCATTGTTACGAGTTCGCTCCTGGTTGGATAGTTGTAATGTCCCCTTTGCTTAGCCCTAACTTCCATTTATACACCTCTATCATGTCGCCCCTCACTCTAAGTCTCTCGAGGGAGTGCAAATTAAGATGCTTTAATCTGTCTCTGTACTCAAGGTTCCTAATGCCTGGGATCAGTCTTGTCATTCTCCTCTGAATTCTTTCCAAGGATTCTATATCCATTCTGTAATACAGTGACCAGAATTGAACTGCGTAATCCAAGTGAGGTCTCACAAGCGCAAGATATAGTTTTAAGATGACCTTGCTACTCTTGTAACTAACACTCCTTTGTATGAACCCAAGTACTTTATTAGCCTTGATTCGAGCAAACACACATTGTTTACTTGGTTTAAGATTCCTACTTATCATTACTCCTAAATCTCTCTCGCAGTCGGATTTCTCAATAACATAGTTGTTCATCTGGTATCTGGTTTCCCTGTTTACATCTCCTATACTGAGTACTTTACATTTGTCCACATTGAATTTCATCTGCCAATTTTCAGACCATTCGAAAATTTTTTTTAGATCTTCCTGTTGTTTTGCGGAGTCCTCGTCAGATTTAACTACACGTCCTATTTTAGTGTCATCAGCAAATTTACTTATGTTGCTGTCTACGCCGATATCTATGTCGTTTATGTATATAATAAATAATAATGGTCCAAGTACTGAGCCTTGCGGATCTCCACTAGTGATGCTGTTCCAATGGGATTTAGTGCCGTTAATGCTCACTCTCTGTTTCTTGTTCTGTAACCACCCCCTAATCCATTTTAGAATATCACCTTTAATGCCATGGGCCTCCACTTTTCTTATTAGTCTTTCGTGGGGGACTCTGTCGAAGGCTTTGCTAAAGTCGAGATATACCACATCATAATTGTGCCCCTCGTCCACTGATTCGAAAGCCATGTTGGGAATCATTGATCAACTTGTGCTTCTCCAGGTGATTTCGAATAGAGTTTGAAATGATTGCTTCCTGTAATTTTCCTACAATTGATGTTAGACTGATTGGACGGTAGTTAGAGGATAGTGATCTATCTCCCTTCTAGAAAATCGGTATTACATTCGCTATCCTCCAGGATTCTGGTACTACACCTGTTTTTAAGGACATGTTAAACAGCTTTGCTAATATCTGATCGGGACCTGGTGACTTATTAGGCTTTAGTTTGTCTATTTGCTTACTAACATCGTTACTAGTCACTACTCTCTCGCTCAATTTATTTTCTTCTATACCTCTGTATAGAGTCGGAGCCTCGGGTATCATGTTTAAATTTTCGGTGGTGAAAATTGTTGAAAAATATTTATTCAGATTATTGCTCATTTCTCCGTCGTTATTAGTTAGCTCGCCGGTATCTGACTGTATTGGTCCAATCTTTTCTCGGTTTTTAGTTTGATACATTTGATAGAATCCCCTGGGGTTTGGCTTCGCCTCCCTTGCTATCTTCAGCTGATTATTCCTCTTTGGTTTTCTTATCTCGGTCTTAACCCTACCGGCCAATTCCTTATAATAATCTCGGAGGTAAACTTCACCACGATTTATCCTCCTACCTATAGCCTTTCTTTGTCCAATAATGTTCTTTAAATAATTATTTATTCATTTAGGGTCATTGTTGTTTGATCTGAGTTTTTTGTATGGTATGTTCTGCCTTTGTGCATTAAGTAACTCATTATTTAAATTGTCGTGGAACTCGGCAACCTCAGATCTCGTTATCAGGTCAATCTCAACCATTAGGATTGTGCTATAGTTCTTCAAGTGGCGGTGGGTGGCTGGTCAAAGAAGACCCTGAATAATTATTTAATAGCACTAAAGAATTTATAAAGCGACGAATAAATAGAAACATGCTACAGTTTTATGTGTTATATTTGGAATTATTTTTTCATGATTCATTTAAATTTTACTTGAATATGCAACACCTAATACGAAGCTCATTTCAGCACTAACCCACAAACCATTGTCCATTTCTCACAACAGTCGAAATCCTGCTGCTTGCTGGGCCGGCAGGCCAACGGCCAGCAAAACAGGCAACATGTTTGAAGGAACGTGCCCAGTGTGCCGCCGCCTTTAGCTGTAATACAACTCTGGCTGATGATTCAGAAATGATTTTACAAATACTTTATCCTGTATTAGTAAATGAGCTTAAATGAATGTGTTGTAGAGGAAAGTTGAAATAACAGAAGTAGATAGACAGGGAGACAAGGAGAAATAAATGTTACTTTAATTAGAGATCAAATAAAACAGTTCGTCATTGTCGTCACAGTTGTGGGTGGAGCTTCTGGGCGACCACGTGTTAGCAGCACGGAGGACAAAGTGCTGTTTACTTGTTACCTGCGACAATAAATTAAAATAACCACTGCTACAATTATTATTTTATTCATTAAAGGATGTAGAACAAAAAACAGTATACTCATATGTAACAGCTGTCAGCATATCAACTATATATTTCAATTGAGATTTTTGGCACCGGAATCCTACTGTTTGTCCTCTGTTCCGACGTTGCCATGCTGATGCCACGTAATATCGAATTTACTTTTATTAACATCAGAGAATGTCGTTCTGTGCTATAAAGGAAGGGGGGTTTTCTAAATCTGGAAGTAGATGTGTATGCATATGTAACAATGGAAGCAGAATTAAACCATAAAGTAGTATTGAGAAGAGGAACCATTACAAAGGAGGCATAGATGAGGATGCTCAGATAAATTATTCAACCAACATTATTACAAGAGTTTGCTGGCCACGCTTTCTTCTCGTGTTCAGCTGGGTGAGGCAAGAGTACTGTATCCACACTCCCCCCAATGGGTAGTCATACCTATGAGACCCACTATCACAGCCTCTATGTTATCCTAAATCCTTCTTGGCGATGTTTTGCCAGCAACACATTGGTATCCACATAAATTTCCTATTGCTACTTTATCGATACTTAATGTGTTGCTGCTATGCACAAGTAGTTGTATAGATGATGATTTATATTATGGAGTGGATGCAAATTAATAATGTACCACTAGCTGTACATGATGCTGACCACTGGTGTGCAAGCAGATGTGCTGTGGAGTATAGTGTACTCGTGCCTTTACCATAAACTGAACACCTGTGTACCCACAGACGTTGAACCCTTTGGAGGCCATGACACGGCAGCATCTGGTTCAGGACAGATTCCCTAGCTTCCACGGTCACGTATTACACCTCGCCAGCTGGACCGATAACTTTCCAGTGATGTTCTTTGACGATTTCACCACTAGTGAGTTACATGAACGTGCTATTATTATCATCCCATTAATGATAGAGGACACTGACAACTCGTCTGTTACTCAAGGATGACACCTGTAAGTATAAGCAGTACTGTTATTACCTGATGGTAGCTCTCCAAGCCAGAATATTAGATACAGAGTGAACAGCAATAATGATACAGATGTGGCTGAGCCTTATGAGTGCTGCAGCTCTCTTGATAGGCACCTGGTAAATACTGTACGTACCTACAACTCATCTCATTGATATCTCCCATTAGTAAAAATGAAGATCATCTAGGTAAGTGATGCTAGACACTGACACCTCATTTAAAGGTCCCAGCTTCTAAGAGTAGAGCCATTTGCTGACAATCCAATAAATGATAGGCCATAACGCACTGAAATGAAGACTTAAAGTGATGCAAATAAGCTATGGACATCAGCTTCCAATGGAGAGGGTGGCTTGGAAGGTGGCATCCAAATGCGTCAATTGTAGAAGTATTTTTTTTTACAGGGATTGGCTCACCCGGGCACAGGTCACTGACCCACATCGGGGCCTGGGGGGCGAAAATTTAATAATAATAATAAAATAATTATAATAATAATAATAATGATAATTCACAATAAAAACAAATAATATATACAAATTTAAATAATGAAATAATAATTATAATAGTATTAATAATAATTAAAATAATAAAGACATACAAAAATGAAAAAAAAGAGAGATCAAGAGTGAGAAACAATATATGTATGGTGTGTTGTCAAAGTAAGAGAAGCAATTGAGACCCTGCAATTGTGTGTAAGTGAGGCAGAAAGTCAGATCACCAACCTGGGACTTGGTCAAAATTTTTGTGATGCCATATGGCAGCAGGGTCTACCATTAGACAACACATTATGCTTCCAATATCTTCCCAGGCGGTAATACCTCCCTGTATACACTACAGGTATGTAATTGAGCCAAATAACAAAGTCTTAAAAAGTGGGTGACTCAGAATCAGCTAAGGGTAATGCAAAGTATAGCTATATGTCTAGATACAAGAGATCCATCCTACATTATCCAACTTAATTAGTCATCAGGAGTTGTATAAATTTTTCATGTGAATGTAAATGAGTTTGCTTCTTACTCCTGTCTCGTGTTATTCTGGTTAACAATATTTTTATATGTTTATGAGATTTTCTTGTCTTATTCCTTATTCGCGTATAATATAAATGACAAGAAATTACCTATATCCTTGTTTATACTGTTGTAATTATTTTTAAGTTATCAGATTTATTGTTCAAATTTGAACCGAGGTGGGGAAAAATCCAATTACAAATTGTTTAGCACCAAGATACTGTACAGTACAGGTGTACCCTGATAACCGACGCATTTAGGGACTGGGAAAGGTTGTTGGTTAGTGAATCATCTGTTATCGAAGCAATTAATCCCATAAGAACATAACAAATTCAGGGGATTAGGGACTGGCCAGCCTCCAAAAACTCTCATCTACTCTTGATATATCTGTCATGCACACTGTCAAGTAAGAAAATAAAGCAGACATTATAAGTAAGCACAATAAGCCTTAAATACGCAATGTAAAACATAAATTGAGGCTGTTATTTACCTGTGTTGAGACAGTCTAGGGTGGCAAGTTCAAGTCTACTAATCTTTGCTGGTCCATCATCACTCTTATTATGCCTTATCACATCAAATCACAAGAGGAACTATCACTAGGGAGTTTAGGCATGATTGAGTAAAACTACATCGGAAATAATGAAAATCAAGCCTCTACCAATCTTTGTTGGTTCGGAGGGCAGCGGTACACCGTCCACCCGCTCTACCTCCCACCCAGGAGGAGGCACCAACTCTACCTCACACCCAGGACAAGGCGAGCGCCGTGTAAACAATGACATATCTAACCACACCCTACAAAATACAGTGTATTTAGCAAATGCTGCAGCTGCTGAGAGTGGACGGGGACTGGAGTTACTACCAAGAGCAGAGACGTTACCGAGAACAAATTCCAGCTTGAATGTCATGTTGTAGAACTGTTGTACAAGAACAGGAGAATAGACCCAAAAGAATGTGAGTTCAGTATTGATGGATATGACTTATTACGAACCATTCTCAAGAAACTTGCAAGAAGGGTGTGGTTATCTATGCTAGGCAAGACCTTAGAGCCAGCCAGGTAAGGGTGCAGGGAGAAGATGTTTTTGAAGAATCCAAGTGGTGTAAAATTATTCAAGGGAGGAGTCGTACTTATTGTCTGGTGTATCTACAGATCCCTCAACTGCAGCTTACCAAACCAAAGGAATTTCAGAGCCTTAATAGACAATGCAGCGAGACTCAACCCTAGCCACCTACTTATCATGGGGGACTTTAACTATGGCGACATCGACTGGAAAAATGAGTTCACGCCCAATGACTTAAATAACCCCTCTACTCTTTTCGTAGAAACTCTGAGAGATAATTTTCTGTTCCAACATGTTAAAGACCCGACACATTACAGAGGGGAGCAAACACCCAAGCCACTGGACTTCGTCATAACAAACGAGGAGGGTATGGTGGCCAAACTGAAACATCTAGCTCCAGTTGGCACCAGCCACCATGTAATGTTGTCCTTCAGGTTTAACTGTTACTCAGTTTACGACAAAAGCAGACCAAGGTGTAAATATTTCAATGGAAATTACGAAGGGAAGAGGGAGGAGATGAGTATCCACTGGCCTAACTCATTTTGGCATAAGAACGCTGACACTACGCTAAATGTCATAGCTAGTAAAGTGAACCATTTGATCAAGAAATATGTACCAAAGATCAAATCCAGTGACCCATGCTGCGGTCGACAAAGTTAAGAGGAAAACCCAGAAATTCAAGATGTGGGTTAGGTCAAACGATGAGCAGGGCAGAGTGTAGAAGGGTTGAAAAGGAGTTCCAGAGGCTGGTTGCAAGCGAGGTCAAGTCAAACCCAAAGGCGTTTTACCGCCATGCAAAGTCAAAATTAAAAACGCGAGTAGGAGTATCGGACCTGAGGCTTGAAGATGGTAGTTATGCAGATTCTGACCAGGACAAAGCTGAGGCATTGAACAGCTTCTTTTCCTCGGTGTTCACAAGAGAGGATGTGAGCAATCTTCCTGTGTTTGAGGTTTATAAGAGTCCCGGACCTGACATAGTGCATCCCAGAGTGCGAAGGGAGGTGTGCAACGAACTTTCTGAGCCCCTGAAGATCCTGTTCAGTAAATACCTGGATGAGTAAAAGGTCCCCAGTGATTGGAAAATGGCTTATGTGAGTCCTATCTTCAAAAAGGGTGATCGCCACTCCACGAATAACTATAGACCGGTGACCCTAACTAGCATAGTATGTAAAGTACTTGAGACCATTATAAGAGATGCCATAATGGAACATCTACGACGAAACAACCTTGTAAAGGATTGCCAACACGGTTTTATGCCGGGGTGCTCCTGCTTAACACAATTACTCAAGGTACTGGATATTTGGACCCGAATTCTGGAACAGGGTGGTAATATTGTCAATATTTACCTAGATTTTGCCAAGGCTTTCGACAGTGTACCCCACGAAAGGCTGAAAATTAAACTGGAAGGGGACGGGATTCGGAAATAAAAAAAAAACACGAAGTCATAGATACATGGTAAGTGTAAACAAGAGCAAAGATGGCGGGAATGAGTCAGAGGAAGCAAAAATTTGCACCACACCACCGCCCGCAAAATTCAAAATAGCTCGGCCGCTCCTCTCCCGATTGTCGGATCTCCGGGGTATCAACGAAACTCGCAGGGTATTTCCCTTATATGTAATTGTCGGTTACGCAATGCAGCAGTTATTGGGGTATACCTGTACCTCTTTCTACCATAAATATCATATCAAGTTGTTCTGGTAGATGAACGCTTGTACCCATCTATTAATAGTGTCAATCATTCACGAAAAAATTAATAATTTAAAGTTTAATTACAATTCGCTAAACTGTGGTGATTGCATTTCCAGATACGACTGTAGCAGGTCTAGGCCTAATAATACTTACTGAGATTGGCAGCATCATGAATTTTACCTACACTGTGCAGTACAATCCTCCTGATTATCATTGGGGAGACTTTATTAATGGTACCTGGATGGGAATGGCAGGCCAGCTGGTCAGGAGAGAAAAAGATCTTATCATCAACACCTTTTCTGTCCTCTATGAACGCATGGCTGTTATGGACTTTTCTGTCGTTATCTTCAGTGATTCTTTTAGTGCTGTTCTGAAGGTGGGTGGTGGAAATCACATCAAGCAATTAAACTTGAGGAGTGAGGTATGAGAATGTTGTCAAATTTATTTTAATACTGTGTTTTGTGTGTGTGTGTGTGTGTGTGTGTGTGTGTGTGTGTGTGTGTGTTTTGTGTGTGTGTGTGTTTTGTGTGTGTGTGTGTGTGTGTTTTGTTTGTGTGTGTGTTTGTGTGTGTGTGTGTGTGTGTGTGTGTGTGTGTGTGTGTGTGTTTGTTTTGTGTGTGTGTGTTTTGTGTGTGTGTTTGTTTTGTGTGTGCGTGTTTTGTGTGTGTGTTATGTGTGTGTGTTTTGTGTGTGTGTTTTGTGTGTGTGTGTGTGTGTGTGTGTGTGTGTGTGTGTGTGTGTGTGTGTCAGACATTTAGGATTCAAATCTTAATGAGTATCATTAAAGAATTATATCAGTAGAAGGCAAGCTTTCAGTGGGAGAATTTGCAGGATTATGCTTCATAGAAAGACAGGGTCCATAAATTCAAAGGTTTGCATGAAAAACACTCCTCATAAGTGAAGATTTAAAGAAACAATGGGTTAACTTAAACTGAAGCATAAAAATAACATTATACTGTAAATTACAGTCAAATTTAATTCAGACTTAAAAAGAGAGATTTAGATTTTAAGGTAATTGTCTTTCAAGTTTGCTAGAAGGGAAAAATGTGTGATTGCCTACAACCACACAGTCTTGTTTCACAGGTATTAAACTTCATCAGTAATTGTTTATTAATATTCAAATAACAGTATATTTTCAATTTGAGTGATAAAGTAAACTATTGGTGCTGGTGTACAGATGCCGAAGCCTGAGGCTCGATGGGCGGCTGTGGTGTACCCTTTCACAGAGAAAATGTGGGTGGCACTGGTCATCTCCCTAGCCCTCATCACACTCTTCTTTCACCTATTCATCACCAACTCACCCACATCAGTTTATACCCACAGTAAGTTCTTTTTTTCTTTTTTTTTCTTTTTAATTACAGCCCTTGTTTTCTTATACTCCTAGTGTAATTTTTAACACCCTTGCCCCTGGGCATATGATTATGTGTGTGTACAGTATTTCCACTTTCATACTTTATTTGAATTTATGTAATCAGTACAGTTCAGAAAATTAATGGCTGCATAAACTATAACCATAAATTAATAAGTCATTAAAGCACTCAGATTCTGTACTGTTTTGCATTTAGAATTTTTTAATTTGGGTACGATTATAAGGGACATAGAAGATTGCAAGCGAATTGATAGTGATAGTAATGCAGCAACAACTGTACTGACAGGGGCAGATGTGTTGTCAACGATGGTGTGGCTGATGAGGAGTATTGTGAAGCAGGGTTTCTCCAGCATCCCCAACATCTCTGGCTGTCGCCCCTTCCTCATTTGCTGGTGGTTGGCCACCCTAGTCCTCTCCACATCCTATGTCAGCAACCTCATTGCGTTTATCACTGTCCCTGGACAGCCAAACAAGATACGCACACTGAAGGAGCTGGTTGAGTCACACCACCCGTAAGTATGACAAGCTCAGAATAAAATATGTAAACACTGTATGTTATACTGTATTACTCGAGGTCTATAGAGAGGAGCTCATCCCACACTTGACCCAAAATGCGACCCAGCTTGCGCATGACGTCACTGGGTGGAGAGGTTGAGAGACCGCCCCCTCAGATGGCTGCAGCCACTTCTGTGAAAACTGGTGTCCTCTGTTACATAATGCCCCCTAAGTATATAATGTTTGTGTGCAGCTCTTTGTTCAAACGAGAGGGAAATATACACTTCCATACATTTCCTAAAGAAGAAGAACTAAGATACAGTATGAGAAAAGCCAACATAAATACAGTACTGCTAATGCTCGGCTGTGATCGGTGGATATTGAACAGTGTTGCCAGAAGCTGACAGAATCTGCAGTCCATTGTAAAGATAGTTTGATAACTATTGAATATGAATCTTATATATTTTTTATAAGTTTACAATAAATTTAGCACTCCATCTCCTCTTCTCTCTAAGATCATAAGAATGGAAGAAACTTCAGTGGGTCTATTGGCCCATACTAGGCAGCCCCATTTACACCCAACCCATACCTGTCACTTGTCATGTGAGGTCATAACTCCTGTCACCTCATGGCTACATTATTAATATAATGAACACAACAGGGAGGAAAGGATATCATGTAGGCAATTGTATATTTGCTATCGTATTTCCACACGGACCTCGCCCGCAAGCCACGCCCCTCGTTTAGAGCTACAAATAGGCGATTGGTTCATAGAAAGTGTTCGTGGAGCTCTCCATTTATTCAAACTAAATATGTTCACAGTTGGAAAGCAGAACTGTTATTATCTAAAATAATGTTAAATAACTGGACTATCAAAATGCTTTCAAGGCTGTCATCAGAGACATATGTGTTGAGAGAAGAGGCCAAAAGAGAATTGTGCAAGAAATTGAGTACCGGTTACCTGATGTACTGTAAGAGAAAGAACCTGAGGAAGAGACCAGTTCTGATCACTGAGGATCTACAACATCAGTTGGATGATGTTATGAGGGCGAGAGATGATCTTCTCATTGAAAAATAAAAGAGGATGAGAGAAGGAGAGGATTTATTTGCATTAGCAGATAGAAAATGCTGTTATTAAGGCTACTGCTGCTATTAAAATATATTCTTAGTAGTTATTTTTTCCTCATCTCAAGTGAATTTTTTCTTGACTGGTAATCCTGTAATATGGGCCCTGGTCTGATGAGGATATCAGTCGAGCAAAGACCATTCACAGATTAAGCTCGAAAGCTTATCGCTACTTGTGTGATAAAAGTAAATTTCCTTTCCCGTCTGTCAGTAAACTGCATCATTGGATTTCTAAGCTCAAAGTAGAAGCAGGGGTGTTGCATGCAGTTCTGCCACTGCTATACCATAAATGTGAGTCTATGGATGACAGTGAACATCTATGTGTTTTATCTTTTGATGAAACAAGTCTCAGTGAAGGTAACCCTTGTCTTGTGATGTCATAACTCCTGTCACCTCACCTTACACCTGTAGGTGGAGGCAGCACCTGTGATCACCTGCTCTAATTACCACTCCCTTATAATCTGGTGTTAGTGGCAGTAACACCTGTCAGGTGAGGTCACCTCGCCTCCTGTCACCTAATGCCTATATTATAAATATATATAGAGCACTTACTTAAATACATAGGTAGAACTGAAATGTATTGTTTTCTTTTACTTTTTACTTTTATCCTCTTAATCACTGATCGGCTCATTAGCCGCTTGGGCAGTCGGTCACGTCTCTGTTACCCACTATTGGCAAGTACTGGGGGTCCTCGTTTTCCGCTGTTAATTGGGGCTGGAAAATTGCCTCTAATAACGTATCCACTTAAAGCGGGGAATTAATCCCATAAGAAATAATGGAGACAGGTCAAATTGGGACCATGACATTCTACATGACACTCAAAAAAAATTTATATGATATCTTTTAACAATTTACCTTAGGAACAGTTATTAACATTTGATAACACATTATTTTAAGAAATAATTTAACTTTATAAGTTATTTAATGTCCTTAAAGTTCATTGGGGTCGGTGCAGTAGTCTACCCTCTGACGTCAGCAAAGCTCCATCCACCTGCGCGCAGGTTGACCTCTTCGATTGACCTTGGTATTACTCACAACAGTACTTAGGTTGCACTCCACAACTAACCCACACATTAGGATGATGAGGGGGTTGCTTTAAAGCATTCCATACCAACACTTCAGGGTTATAAAGAGGTAGTTTTAACATTCATAAACCCAATCTTGGGGTGATTAAGAGGTGCAGTAGCTTTAACATTCCTTATACAACATTTTCCACCCACACCTCAAGGTTATAAACTAAATAAACACATTAATTTACAGTGCCAAGGCTGCCCCCCCCCACCCCCCACCTTCAAAAATTGCTTAACATTGTTCACAGTTTCAATACCATAAAACAAGGGAGGATCCAGGGGGGGTCCTGAGTTCGGGACCCCCCTTTTCACCAGAAAATTTCAATACTTTTCTTTTATGCAGTATTGTACTCGGGTATTTTTGTATAGTAAAAAGTATTTACTATTGACTTCAGAATATCTCCTAATATCAGGTGCGCATGGCTTCAAAACAGCCTCAAAATGCCCATGATATTGGTCAGATTTAAAAACTAATAATCTCGGGGGCGCCCCCTCCTGTAATGGGTGGGCTCGCTGCGTTCGCCATGTTCCCCCACCCACAACTTCTTGGATCCCCCCTTTTGATATTTCTGGATCCGCCCCTGCATAAATATTCCCTAACTTGCTGACCAGGGATATGGAGTTCAAAGTTATAAATTTAGGTAAATTGCAACCTTTGAAGCTCTTTTACCCAATTTTAAGCCCTTTGTTTTCTAAAAGTTTTGGATACTGTGTGTCTGTGTGTCTGTCTGTCTGTCTGTCTCTCTGCCTGCCTGTCTGCAGTAAGATCACTTTTATGTGGTCGAAAACACAATTATAGTCACAGATCAAAACAAAAACAAACTATACAACCTCTTATGGTCACTGCATGGAATGTCAGAACTACCCTATTGGCAAAAGAGCTGTCTGGGTATTACATTGACATAACAGCCATTAGTGAGTCCCGGGTCGCAGACGAGGGTCAACTCACAGAACAGGGGTCTGGCTATACTTTCTTCTGGAAGGGTAAGCCTGCTGCAGAGAGAAACCACAGGCTAACTGAAATGTATTTTGCGATCATCTAGTGCCCCATGACGCTCCCGGTCTCACTGAATCACACACGTCAGGCCCTTTTCATCAGTACATACGCCCCAACACTGGATGCAGAGGATGACATCAAGGAAGCCTATATGCTGACCTTTGTTCCAGAGAATATAAGGTTGTGCTCCCTGGTGACTTCAATGCCAGAGTTGGCAGAGATGCTAACATATGGCAGGGAATCACAGAAAGAAATGGACTAGGCAAGTGTAATCCCAGCGGCCTACTCCTACTCAGCACAACCTCACTATCACCAATACCTTGTTTAGGTAGGCCGACAAGTTCAAGGGTTCATGGCAACATCCACAATCCAAACACTGGCATCTCATTGACTACATCATTTTCAGAGAAGAAGATCCTCGAGCTGTCCTCATCACCTGAGCCATGCGTGGCTCAGATCACTGTGACATTGGTCATCGGCTCGTCAGAGCCAATCTCTCACTTTATGTTGCCCCAAAACCGCGAAGGTAACAGACCTCCAGAAGAAGTTTTAATACTAAGCGTCTGGAGGATCCAGCAGAAGCACATGATTTCAGAGAGCAGCTCGAACATGGGCTGATAGACAATCCGACAACAAACAACCCAAATCCCAGTGCCAAATGGGGTATTCTCGACAGTGTCATAACAAAAACCTGCAGAGAGACCCTTGGTCAGATCGAAAGAATACACCAGTACTGGATTGATGAAAATTACTCGGAAATGAACGTACTCGTTGATGATAAACGTGCTGCTTTAACTGACTGGCAGAACAACCCTCAGTAGGAACTTTGTAATCTAAAGAACGAATGGTTGAAAAATAAAGTATGTGAAACAAAAACTTTCAGATCGACACAAGATGCATGGATTTGTCAATTCCACTAAAACATTTTGTGGGTAATCACCCATGGCACAGCTCCCCTCTGCTCATCTGATGGCAACTTCCTAATTAAAGATGAAGAAGGCATCCTTCAGCACTGGAAAGAGCACTACCATTCACTGCTCAACTGAAGGCCTTCATCGACCTAACCAAGGCCTTCGACTCAGTTAACAGTGAAGCCCTCTGGCGGACCCTCAACTGTTTTGGCTGCCCTCCAAAATACATCGCCGTTGTGAGGCGACTCAACGATGGCATGAATGGCAGTGTTTTGTACAATGGCACCCAGTCTGAGTTCTTCCCCACCCAAATGGGTGTAAAACAAGGGTGTGTACTGGCACTAACTCTCTTTTCCATTTTCATGGCTGCTTTCCTTATTCGTGCTAGTGCCAATTTAGCCGATGGGGTGGACTTCCAGTACCGGGTGAAAGGGGGTCTTTTCAACACAAGACGACTCCAAACAGGAACAAAGGTATCTGCAGCTTCCATTATACTGAACTTCAGTATGTAGACGACCTCACCCTCGTCGCTCACTCTGAACGCGACCTACAGGAGATCCTAAGCACCTAAGCAGATGCGTATGCACACTTCGGCCTTGAGGTGAATTTACGTAAGACTCGGATTCTTTTTCAGCCTCTCTCAGGTTCAACCACACCTCCCCCCATCCATCCAGTTAACGGTACTACCCTCTCTCTTGTTACCTACTTTCAGTATCAAGGCTCCCACCTGTCTACCACCGCAGATATCGATAAAGAGATTCAACATTGGATCAGATGTGCATCTCAAGTCTTTGGCAGACTCCGTACTCTTCAGTTGTAGGGAGCTGAAATTATATACAAAGTTGCACATATATTGAGCAATGTTCCTCCCCACCCTGCTATATGGCAGTGAGACATGGGTCACATACGGGAGGAGCCTCAATGAGCTTGAAAACTTTCACCGTCCTCCGAGTTTGCTTAGAAGACAAGGGAACAAATGCCAGTATTCTCAATGACACCAACTGTAAGAGCATCGAGGCTACCAATACCCATGAACAACTACGTTGGATTAGCTATGCTACCCGCATGGACGACAGTAGACTGCCAAAGCAGCTACTTTACAGTCACATTGCGATTAGTAAACGTAACGTTGGCGGGCAAGGTAAGAATAGTTTTATAACAAACCTGAAAAAGCGCCAAATTGACCCCATCACCTGGGAGATGATTACTCCACACCGTAATGTTTGGAGGAGCACCATACGAGAAGGTGTCAATACTTTCATATTATCCCGGCTATATACCGAGGTAGACAAGAGCCAACTCTGCAAAGAAGCTGCCGCACTTATGTAGCCCTCCACACGTGTAACATCTGTGGACGATTCTGCTGGTCCCGTATCGGCCTCTCGAGTCACCTCAGAGCTCACCAACGTAGGTGACATCTTGAGAACTCGTGTCATTGTATCATAGCTGGATGATCGTCATAGTCGATTCCGAGTGACAGCAAAGTAGTAGTAGTGTGTGTATGTGTGTGTGTGGGCACGCTCATGCATGTGCATTTTTTTTGTCTGAAACTTTTGGATTAATTAAACCTGTTAATTTCCAGTTCCGAGATAGTGTTATAATTTCCCAAAATACTTTTACAGAACATTGCATGTATGATTCAAGTTGTATGTTTCAGGTTGTACATTGCAGATTACGGGTCCTTTATTCCTAGTTACATGGCGACTTCAAATGATCCTCTGTACTTAAAGATGTCACAGAAGCTCAATTATCTGCTGGAGTACTCTGATATCATTGACCAGGTCTACCAGAGTGAAGCTGCCTTCCTCGAGGGCACTAATTACATAGAATTCTTAAATATTCCTTTTGAATATTACTATGTGAGAGAAGTAATATGCCCAGTTCACGTAGCCTGGGCTTTCCAGAAAGGAACACCATGGGTATATGTGTTTAACAGGTATGGTTTCTTTAATACTGTAAATTTTGGGGACATTTATAATCTAGTTGACAAAGAGAGCATAATTATATGCAGTGGAACAATTCAGTGCAGTATGTACATAATTATATAACTGAGTGTCTGGGTTTGAGAAGAAGAAAAAAGAGGCTAAATTGAAAGGGTTTTTGGATGAAAGATTAGATCACCAGGACCTTTATCATGTATGTGTACTACCATTGGATAGGAAAAGTGTTAGTTATGAGAATAACTTTCTTTCAGTTATTGTTTACTCTCAGTGATGCCCCCCTCCATCGACACACACTCACACACCTCAGTACCCCAGGCTCCCTTTCAACAATACTTTGGTAATCTTCAGTATCAATGATTCAGAGTACCCTCGGGTGTGTTTTACCAATCGTCCAAGGTCTTGTATCTCTCTGGGACTCAGTTTTTAATTTCATGCATCCATCCCAGTCTCTCCTTCCCAGGGCCCTCCATCCCTTAACTGTGCCCATTAATATTTCTGTTATTTCCCCTCATCCTTAATTACAGTACAGTATATGACAAAAGTATCTAATTTTTCTTTTTCACACATTTCAAGTAGAGCATTTGGCTTGAAGTTTTTGCTAATCTTAGTACTACTTCATTTGTTTTCCTGTCAGTGTAGCTTATTCTTAGCAATTGCCTATAACACCACATTTCAAGGGCCTGTAAGTGTCTATGCTTCTGAGCCATACAATAGTGCTTACCATATAAAGCTTTTCAGCAGCAGTTTTCTCAAAATGAAGTTACTGTCTCTCTTCATTAGGACTTACCATATTATTTTTTTCATTTCTTCTATACATCTACCATCACAGCTGATGTTACTTCCCAAATATTGTACACAAAATTTTCCACTTGTTTAAGTTCCTGTTCCCTAACATAATTTTTATTTTAGGACTTATTTCCAACTTGGAAACAACTATTATTTTCGTCTTTACAGCATTGACTCTAAAACCATATTTTTCACCTTTTCCCACTCATCTGTTAACAAGTTTTAGTAATACCTCCTCACTATCTATGATATGGGCAGTAGTATCAACTGCATAGCGTATTTATTATATTACTTTACCATTAACTTTTTGTCCGTAATTATCACTCACAACTTCTGTCATTAAGAATTCTGAATATATATTATACAATGTTGGAGCTAGAACACAGCTTTGTCTTACTCCCTGTCTAATTGTGAACCATTTAATAAATTCATTATTTACTATCACTGCAGCCTCCTGTTGCCAGTAAAAATTCTTTTAAATTCTAACATCTTCAATAATGCTTATTTTTCCAAGATTTCTTTTTTTTTATCAACATATATCTTTGGACCTCTAACGCCCTTTCACTCAAAATTCTCGATCCAAAAATAGCTTTTGTAGTTGCTTTTTCCCTTTCTAAATCCAATTTTCTTTTCAGATAACTCACTTTCAATTCTGAACTTTAGTCTACTTAAAATTATGTTTAATAAAACTTTACAGGCATGACTTATTAACATCCGGGATCATACACTCATAAGTCTTAAGGCTAGGTGGCAAAACGTTTATGTGTGGTACCAGTAACCAGAGAACAAATGGCAGTATATGGTTCTGCCTCAGTAAGCAGTGAGTGTGTCAGTCCCAGATTCTATTTAAAAATGGCCACCATGGCATTTGCGCCGCTGTCAAAATATACTGTATATTTTTTACAACCTCACTATTTATTCTGATGAAGTGATAAAGTGGTGTGTATTGAAATATTTATAATGAAATACCCTGGAGTGAAATATTTTTTAATTTATGAGACGATGGTGAAATGCCTACTCACAATACAGTCGCACATACCACACAAAAGCCTTTTGTAATACAGTATATAGGCCTAGCTTGGGAAAATAATAAGTGATAGTAAAATGTAGTGCAGTAGAGGCTTGCATATGGTGAATTATAATGAATATATTGTGCATATTTGATATGTATTCGTAATGCCATCACCATTGTCATGCATTTGCCAAGGCTTACCTCGTCTGAGTGATAAGTGGACATATTGCCAAATTTTCATTTTTTGTCACAGAAACTTCTAACTGGTCTATTTCACATCCTTAGTATGTGTACAGTAATAATCCATAAAAAAATACTTTAGCAAGATTTTGACTAAAAAACAAGCAAGGAAAAAGTATGCGTACAAACATTTTGGCAACTGCTCGCTTAACCACCACTTATTTTTATTTTTTATTCTGTAACTCCATTACTTTTTACATTATCTTTTTTTCTGATTACACCACCTTTCTCATTTTACTTTTACTTTATTTTTATCCTCTACACCACTGATCGGCTCGTTAGCTGCTTGGGCGGCCGGTCACGTCTCTGTTACGCACTGTTACTGGGCATGCACTGTCTCGTGAATGTATCTTAACCTGCTACAGTGCTGGTCAAGTTTGGTCTTGAAACAGCTCGCACTCGGTGCCATCACAACACACTCCGGTTGTTCCAAGAGTTCACAACTCTCATTCTTTCTTACCATGTGCATTTTATACTGACTAATGCATGTGGGTACAGCAGGAAGAGGAATCAACAGTAAACTCTCACTTTTCACTTCTACCTAATTTTTTTTTTTAGGGCTTCATGTGATTTTCAGCCCTTTTTTTATATTGGAAAGCATCATTTGCTTAAATATTTGACAATATCTTAGCTACGAGTAGCGCCCTGGGAAAATATTATCTTCTTTGCGATTTCTCGTCATTCTGCAGGGCTCTAAACAGAGCGAGCGACAAGTTTATTAAATAAATATCAGGCGATCCCGAGTGTGTTAAGCTTATTGTTCTAAACTGGGTACACTCCAAGGATCCTGGCTTATTAGGTAATAATGCAAATATTTATTTTTTAAATCTATAGGAAGGTCTTCTTTGAAGTAAATATAGTTACTGTACATTCAGTACTGTACATTGTATTTAGTCGAACAGTTTATCCCATTCTTGCCCATTTGTTTTATAAAGTCTGCTGCAAGCCGACCAACTCCACAAGCTTTATCATTTTTCACTTTGTTTACAGCTTCCTCAGTTTGTTTCCAGAATTGACATTTCGATCGTTATTTCCATTAAGTTTCTTACCTCTACTCTATCCTTATTGTTCTTCTGCATACTCTGCCCATCTCTCTTTTACTACCTCTGCCTCAAACAGGATCTTATTTTCTTTGCTTTTAATAGTCCCACCCCTTTTTTTCTGGTTCTTTTGTTTATTCTTTCTGTACATTTGCTATAATTATGTATTCTGTCTTCATTTTCAGTCACCTTGCATTTCTTTTCTGGTCACCTTTTTTTGGCCTGTCTGCATTCCCTTTGAATTTCTATAATATATTTTTTTGTAAGCCTCACTTCATTTTCCCATTTTTCTTTGTCTCTACGCTTTCTTTAAACTTCCATTTGTCATCCACTTACTTTTAGCCTTGTTCCTCCTATGTCCTATAAATTTTCCCCATTCTCTAACATTACTTCTTTGTGATTATTAAATTGTTGTTCTGGTTTTGTTCATCAAAGTCAACCTCTAGCAGTACTTAAAATCTTTTTTTTATATCAATTTCATATTCTACCCCTGGCCCTGTTTTGAGCTTACAGTACAGTAGACCCTTGCCATTTGCGATTCGCGGTGGCTAACTTGTGAGCCTTTTCCCGCAGCGCAATGAGTCACCCCATGTGCCTGCAGCATCTCCTCTCCCTCTGTTCGCGCTCAACCATTGCCTGTGCTGTTGCAACTTTCTGTGTGAAAATGGCCCCTAAAAGAGTGCCTTGTGTCAGTGCAAGTGATGCTAGTGGAGTGAAACGTAAAAAGCAGACGTCAGTGATGACCCTGACAAAGAAAGAGGGGAAGAGTGCTGCCACAGCTGGTCGGTTGTTTGGCATAGGTATACAGTAGTTCACTAAAGTTAGTAGAAGTTGCTATTCACAGTTTTGCCTATTTGCACCATTCCTTGGAAGCTAACCCCCACGAATAACAAGGGTTTACTGTATATAAATTCCATTTGATTTTTTTCAAAGATTTAATTTTTGAAGTTTCAGCCTTACTAAACTCATAACTGGGACGTGATCTGACCCACAATCCGCCTCTGAATAGGTCTTGGTTTGGGTTATTGAATTTCTGAATTGTCCTGAATTTAAATGTAATTTATTTGATTGCTGACTACTGTATGTTGTTTACATTGTCCTGGGGTGAGAACCCATGTATTATACAGGGTATAGAGATGCCTGGGGTGTTGTTCAAACCATTTACAGTACAGTATTTGCGATTATCATCTAGTTTTCCTTACAAAAGTCAATTAATAAATCCCCTCTCTCATTTCTGTTACCCCACCAATGTGGTCCTACTTCTGGTGCTACTTTCCCTTTCCCAACTTTTGCATTTAAATCACCCATTATAATCAGACATTCAATAAATGTCAGTGTCTTTTGCTTTCTTTAAATCTTCATAATTTTTTCTAAGGCTTCATCTGTATTCCCAAGTCCATGGGTTTAGCATTAAACTTGACTTACAAAACTCTAATTTGACACTGCCCAATATCCCTTCACACACACACTCTCTTTCTCTCATATGATTTTCACCACCTGAATATATGAAGTAAGAATCTTCACTGCTAATGCTGTTTGAACCTGTCCATCTTACTTTACTTAATCCCAGAATGTCCCTCTCCAATCTTTTAATTTTATGCTCACATTTATCATTATACCATTCAGATAAATATCCCTTCAGGGAAATCATTGGACAGATATGAAGTCTGGATGTAAGATGGAAGACAATAGGCGCTATAGAAATTAAATTTGTTGGGCAGTACAGTACGTATATGAGATTTATAAAATGTTGAAAATAAGAAATACAAAAGTACAGTAATGAGATCGGGAAGTGAAAGAAGTGTGAGCTGGGTCTGCTCAGGTGGTATGGACATACAGTACTGTAATGAGAGGTGAAATATTAGTGAAAGAATATGTGTAAATCGTAAATGGAAGGTAAGGGGAAAAGAGAGGCAAAGATGATGGAATAATTAGGTGAAGGCTGCACTACAAGTAACATTGATGGACATCCAGGAAGCAGTAGTGTACACATTATAAATAAGTGGAGAACATGGGTGATGCCAGCATGTACAAAGTGATGGGCAAGCAAGATTTAGGTCCTTGTTGTGGAAGGGGAGTACCATAGCATTCCTCACCCTCTACAGCAATAAGAATGAAAGAATTATAATAAATTAAGGAAAGAAGGAAACATGTGTGTGTACAGGCTTGGAAAAAATATGCAGTGTTTATGCAGTAAAAGTATGGTTTTGCTAGTTAAAGAATATGAATTCATAGAAAAAAGAACAAAGTATAGAAAGAAGTTAAAGCTTACTTCTGAACTGTTTCTATCCTTAATGTATACATACAACTACAGTACAGTACATCCTTTCCCTTTACCTTACATGTTCTTTCTTCATCCCCTGCTCTTTGTCTCCTCTGACCATATCTCTACTGATTAATTTCTCACCTTCACCTCAAGACCCAGTGGCGCACACATCAGGTGCCTTTGCATGCAAGTACAAAGTTTACACACTAAAATGTAACATTCATATACTGTACCGGAGCTTCTTTAAAATTAAAGTTTCTGTAAAACTCTTCCAGGTATCTGACGAGAATTAAGGAATCGGGTTTGAGTGATAAATGGCGTCAAGATGTGGTGAAAAATTTCCGGCTTTCCCGAGGCAAGTCCCCCTGGACAAAGAAGTCAAAGGACACATCACAACGAGCCCTGTCCCTGACTGACCTGCTGAGTTCCTTCTTTATTCTAGTCCCTGGGATAATTGCAGCTTTATTCACATTCATAATTGAAAGGGTAGTTGCTCATAACACTGTTAGTAAGTAAATACATATACTGGGCAGTAATAACAGATTTTAGTTTTATGATGCTGAGATGATATGTAGGTGCACCTGTTCCCTATCCTTTTCCCATCACATCACCTCACCATTCTGCAGATTGGAGTCAAGAGCATTTTATTTGACACTTGAGTAATAAAACTATAAAAATGTAAGAAATGCTTGCATTCAGAGATAGTAGAGGACTGCCTGTTTTGCATCCTTAGTCTAGCTACTATTGCAAGGTTCATTTAGGCCATTCTGGTAGCTTTACTACAGTTTAAACAAAACGAGTTGCTAGATTTCACAAAATGCGCATGCCACTGTACCAGATGGAACTGTGGCCAAATGTACATATGATTTTTCATGACCGTGCATAATGATAACTGATCAGTGGTGAAGAGGAAAAAGGCATGAAACAGCTGAAAATTTAGTGTCATGAAAAAATGCTGTCCCTCACTCAATCGAAGTGAAGGGATATGTACCCTGTACCTCTGTTCTCCCTTATACAAGTAATCAATGTCTATGGGCACCTCTTGGCCTAATCAAGGCAGTTTTCCCTCTGGTGTTCATTCTGTACGTAATGTTACCTGGTAGTTTTTTATAGTTCAAAACATGTGATTATTGAGTATTTAGAATTATCCATTACAATATGTTCCTGTAGCCAGCTGAAATTACCATTTTTCGATGTGATAAATTTTCATGAAAGTATAGATTCTAACCGTTACATAATATACACTCATGCTGTGCTATTATATGATCATAATAGTACCATTACCCTTAGTGAAAAAAAAAAACTTTGCTTCTCACAATAAGTAGAAAGAGACTGACCACATGCTAATGAAAATTATGTTGATGAAGCTGTATTAGGTCTGCATCATGCTAGTGGTGTAATACAGTAGCTGTAATTTGAGAGCTTTGTATAGCAATAGTTTAACAATTTACCTTAATTCTCAATAATTTATATTTTATGTGTTCACAACTTGCTTTGTAACCAATGAATTTTTCTTCTGGATAAACTTTTGTAATTGTTTTTTTTTTCAAATGTTGTATATGTTAAAAATTATTTTCAATTCAGTGTAACTTCAACGGGATATATGATGTTTGTGGCAACTTGGGGATGTGTGATGCTCTTAAGAGCTATTTGTCTCTGAGGAGGTTGAATGATCTCCCATAAGGTCTACGTGAATCTTCTAGGGGTGCTCATAAGTTGCTAGTTGTGTACAGTTAGTAAGGGCAATGTGATGACACCAAAGGCTGTCTGTCACTGCTAGGGACTGTGAGGCTGCCAAGGGCTGGGTGCTGAGGCTTGTCTGAGCCCCCTACTATAGAGGTAGTTGGGTTACCCTTATGGAGCCCTGTGTACACAGGTAGTAGTAGAACCATAAGGGCAACCTAACCTAGCAGTAGCCTCTGGTGTCAATCATTACAATAAATATTGCAACTATTTGTATAATAACTTAATGTGGCGTATAAATAAAAAAAAAACATTTTTCGTTGTTTATATTAATCCTAAGAGAAAAGTTGAAACCAAAAGGGTTCTAAAGGCAAAAATGATAGAGACCAATTTTTCTACTTCCCGAAAATTAGAAAATCTAATTACGATCTCTTGAGAATTGGACGGATCGTAAGTATCTACTTGTAAGTTATTTTTTTTCTTAAGTTCGAACTTACGATCTTTCGAATTCTCAAAAGATCGTAGGTTCGAACTTAAGAGAAAAAATAACTTACGAGTAGATTCTTACGCTCTTTTGAGAATTAGAAAGATCGTAAGATCGAATTCTCAAAAGATCGTAAGTATCTACCTTTCGAGAAAAGTAGATTTTCTACTCTTAGGGAAATTAGATTATCTAATTTTCATGAAAGTAGATTATCTAATTTTCGGGAAATCTACTTTCCTGAAAAGTAGATACTTACGATCTTTTGAGAATTCGAACTTTCGATCTTTCGAATTCTCAAAAGATCGTAAGTTCGAACCTAGGAGAAAAAAATAACTTACGATCTTTTGAGAATTAGAAAGATCGTAAGTTCTAATTCTCAAAAGATCGTAAGTTATTTTTTTATCTTAAGTTCGAATTACGATCTTTCTAATTCTCAAAAGATCGTAAGTATCTACTCGTAAGTTATTTTTTCTCTTAGGTTCAAACTTACGATCTTTTGAAAATTAGAAAGATCCTAAGTTCGAATTCTCAAAAGATCGTAAGTATCTACTTTTCGGAAAAGTAGATTATCTAATTTTCGGGAAATCTATTTTCTTGAAAAGTAGATAATATACTTTCCCGAAAAGTAGATACTTACGATCTTTTGAGAATTCGAACTTACGATCTTTCTAATTCTCAAGAGATCGTAAATTCGAACTTAAGAGAAAAATCACTTAGAAGTAGATACTTACGATCTTTTGAGAATTAGAAGGATCGTAAGTTCGAATTCTCAAAAGATCGTAAGTTATTTTTATCTTAAGTTCGAACTTACGATCTTTATAATTCTCAAAAGATCGCAAGTATCTACTCGTAAGTTATTTTTTCTCTTAATTTCGAACTTACGATCTTTTGAGAATTCGAACTTATGATCTTCCTAATTCTCAAAAGATCATAAGTTTGGACTTAAGATAAAAAATAACTTACGAGTAGATACTTACGATCTTTTGAGAATTAGAAAGATCATAAGTTCGAATTTAAGAAAAGAAAAATCACTTAGAAGTAGATACTTACGATCTTTTGAGAATTAGAAGGATCGTAAGCTCGAATTCTCAAAAGAGCGTAAGTTATGTCTTTATCTTAAGTTCGAACTTACATTTTTTCTAATTTTCCAAAGATCGTAACTTCGCACTTAAGAGAAACAAATGACTTATGAGTAGATACTTACGATCTTTTGAGAATTAGAAAGATCTTAAGTTCGAACTTCAGATGAAAAAATAAGTTACGATAGTTTGATAATTCGAACTTACGAGCTTTAGAGATTTACAAAGACCGTAAGTTACGATCTTTTGAGAATTAGAAAGATCGTTTGTTCGAATTCTCAAAAGATCGTAATATATTTTTTATCTTAAGTTCGAACTTACGATTTTTATAAGTCAGAAAAGATCGTAAGTATCTACTCGTAAGTCAATTGTTTCTCTTAAGTTCTAACTTACGATCTTTTGAGAATTAGAAAGCTCGTAAGTA